CACCATCTTCTTGTTTCCTGTTGCCTATCTGACTTTCTTTAATATGAGGGCATGGCTCAGCCAACTGCCTTTCCCCAATTCAGCCACAGTTGAGATCAGGGAAATTGCACCACAAGAATTTTTTTAATCCAACAGTTAACTGATGCCACTGTAGTCCTAAACTTCCAGGGTGTTATACTTCATTAAAGTGGCCCTGGAACCATAAACAACAATGTGGTAAGTAGAACAAGCACTGGCTTGATACCTTGTCTATATGACTGTGTCCCAGGCTCAGCTGCTTAGCTGTGCACCTTGTTGATTTTGGCAAAATAACTTAACCTGTTTCCCCAACTTTCAAATAGTGATAAAGTTTCCTTCCTTGCTCACCTTCCAAGGTTACAGTGAGATGAAGCCTTTTTTGAATGCATAATGGAGGCTGTGGGGAAGTGTAGATTAGTACATGGGCTTTGGTAGCAAACAAACTTGGGTACAAAACCTATCTATGGCACTAATGAACTCTTTGGTTCTGGGCAAATAGCTTCTGTGAGCCTCAGTTTCCTCTAACAAAATAGTTATAATACTAGTTCCTACCTCAGAGAATCATGGTGAAGAATAAATAAAATAATGTATGTAAAAGGCTCAGCACAGTGCCCACTAAGTAATAAAGTCTCAATCAATGTTACCTCTTTTAATTGTTATGTTAAATATGTTCAGGAATTACAGGATTGCTCCATATAAAATCAGAATAGCAACATCTACAAGTACCCTAAGCCTCATTAAGCTGATGGTAGACATAAAGTTATATGTTGTTTCCTATTTAGGACTCAATAGGAGCCTAGAGCCAGGGACTTTGGAAGATCTCTGAAACAGGGTAATTTTCTATAGTAATCAGAAAACCCAATAGTAGGGACTTTTAACTGACACATGATTGAGATCCAAAGCACAAAGTGACAGAAATAGGAGTTGTGAAAAAATTACATACGTGTATTCACAAGGCTCATCCTAAGTACAGGGAATTGTCCTGAACCAGACCCACTTTGAAATCAACTCATGTAGACTGGTTGGACAGACCCAAACCTGGGCCCTATACTCATGAGGCTTACAGTTTCTGGGAGCACTGATATGGGACAAGTAAGTATACACATTCTGCATTTAGAAAAAAAATGAAAATGTCCCTCCAACAAGGATCATTCTGGAAATTGCAGTGCAGTGTGGAAAGTACCCCAAGTCAGAGAATCATGTTGCTCCATTCCAAACTCACAACAGCACCAGGCTTCTCTGCCAGTGGGCTCCACAGTAATGAAAGCTGGTTCTCCCAAGGGAGTCCATGGAATCTTTAAAACAGGCTTCTTCAGATGATCTGTAACCTTGATCACCATTTCTTCCTAGAAAGTAACTCAGTCTGATTGCATACCAGGTCAGAAACAAATGCTTCATATTTTAAGTGGAAATCTGAGGTGTGACAGGATGACACAGGTATCACACACTGTCAATTTGCTCTTTTCCTGTAACTGACATTCACAGTAAAATTTCTTAAATTAATCTTAATTTTGCAAAACTATCTACTAGAACCTTCTTGACAGTGCCTTTCCTACAGCTGTAAGAATGGAAGATTTCAAGTTCTTTGAAATGAAGATTAGTACCTAGAAACTCCAAATTAGACTCCTTTAAAAGAAATTCAAGTCAAAAATCTCACTTTAGAAAGTCTGACAATCAGCATTTCTATACAATCTAGTCTCTTTGAAAAAGTGATTTATTGTTTCACCTCAAGACATCAGGTCATAGAGTTTTAGTTTTGATTTTGTCCTGTCTGAAAAGATGACTTTCTTCTGGCCCAATGATCCTGTCAGTAGGTATCTTTGAGTTGGGGTTTTTGAATGGCAAAGATTGGCAGGCTGTGGAGGGGGGTCAGAGAGAATGGGAGAAGTCCTCAAGGAGAGTAAGGCCAATGGGGAGAAGGTTGAAACTTCTGATTTACTGGGTTGAACTAGAAATTGTGTTGCCAGGTCAGAGAGGGGCTTTTCCAGGCAAAGCCAGGACAGTAGGTTGGCCCAGAAGAGTCCTCTACCTTAGCTAATGTGCCCCAGGGAGCCCAGGGAGTGGAATGGAAGAGAAGGGAACCAACATGACCTCAAGAGACTAGATGGTTGAGCTGCCAGTATGACAAGAGCGTTTTGGTTCCTCTTGCTACTGCTCTCCCTACAATCTACTTTCCTTTCCCTCCTGCCAGCCCAGTGGAGAAAGCATTGTATGGATGCATATTTGAAGGTTCACTAAAGGGCTGAGTTCTAAGGTTCCTGATCCCATCAGAGCCAGGGATGGGCAGAAGAGGGAGGAATGGAGAAGGGGAAAGTTCTACCCTGTCAAGTAGCTGATTTCAGAAAGTGAGCATGTGGTGGGCCTGGGCTAGCTGACTGGCTGGCCTGAGACAGCCTGGCCTCCACAGTGCTGCCTCTCTAAGCTTCATCCGTGTTCCAGGAATATAGCTGGGAGTCTGAGCTCCTTCCACCCAGTCCAACCTTACTGATTGGTTTTGGTCTCAGGAAGGGAAAGCCCCTGCCCTACTTTTGAAGCAGCAGCCAGCACCACTTGTCTCTTCTCTCCTTCCCGCAGGCACTTCTGTTCAGAGTGCTGCCTCTTGCTGGTTTCTTCTGTTTCTGCTTGGTCCTTGTACTGATTGGGAAGAAAGTATACCAGTGGGGTGATGGGGGTCTGGAACTCTTAAAGGAGCAGCTTCATTTCTGTTGGAAATTTACTCTTTATCTACCACTTATTTTTCTGTCTTTCTTCAATCAATATAATCTGGTGAGAAAAGTGAATCAGAAAGAAAGTTACCATAATCATCACTTAAATGTTAATTGCAGATGTTCTGGTTTTCCTGTAAGGATTTTCAAGCAGACCAAACACTTGCCCTGACAACAATCATTATTAGCAATCAAATCCAATTTGAGAATCATTTACTGAGGGCATAAAGGTTGGGGGTGGGGGACAGGATCTGAATAGGGCAGTGTATGCTATTTCAAGGGCTTACAGTCTAGGGCTGAACACTAGAACTCATCTAATGATCAAGGCACAGAGGTAGTTTGAAAATCCTCAGCACCATTTTTGCCAATAGTTCTTAAGCCTCAGAGTCTTTGACCAGAGCAGTTACAAATAGTGAAATTAACAAGGCAATTTGAAATGTCTTTCCTTGGCTGGGTGTCCATTGGTTGATTTGTAGTCAACTAGTATTTGTTAACAACCTGGTTGTAGGAAAAACAAATAAACATGTGAGAAAACCTCACTAAATGGTAGAGTTGCAGAAATGTCAGATCATGAGCAAAGTCATATCTCATTCTCAGTTTTTTGTGGGGGAAAAAAATTAAAGAAAATGTATTTGGATGATTTTGAGAATATGAGATAATATTAGAGAAGCATATTTAAATAGAAATCAATGAATGCCAGAACAGTAAGAGCCAGATGGCAGCTAGATCAAGCCTCCTTTTGGGGTTGGGGAAAATGAATGTCAGAGCAGTGACTTGCTCAGAGTCACACAGAATTGGCAACGTGTTCTGTTAGTGCTCATTCTACTGCTCTTCCTAAGACAGTTGTAGCCTTATGATTTCAGTAATGTGCCAATAGTATTCCCTGTATATAACATGAAGAATGGTAATGAGACTCCTGAAATTCAAGAAGCAGTGTGTTTCTTCTCTCATAGGAGGCAAGAAAGCCTTCCTGGAGGTTATAGGCTAATGGGATCCACCAGGTCCTGTACCACTAAAGGAAGGTTGATGGGAGGAAGGGTACTGCAAATGGAGAGAGATAAGATTCTATGACTAGAAGGGAAACTGGCAGGCAGTGGGTGAGATAGTGGGAACATCCCCAGTGGTTTTGTGATTTCTGATAGGATGAAAGTGCAGAAGTCCTTTGTACAAGGCACATGATGATGGTATGTGGAAGGTTGTAACAACCCAGGTTTACTGAGTCTTAATCCCAACTGGAAAGAGTAAATGAAGGCCGTAATTCCTGTCTACCCTTGCAGTCTAGTGAAACCTGGGCCCTGAACTTGAGGAAAAATTGCGTGCATTTTGTGTCCTGTAGTGTGGCACAGTAATGCGACTGGCCAAGTTGTTGTGGGTGCTGTCATGTGGTGAGGTAGGGACCGTGAAGGTGACTGCCTTCTCCTTTCTGGTCCCCAGTACTCTGTGCTGTGGGCCTGAGGGATGTTTGCTGGGTTCCAGTGGCCCTTAGAGTGTCCTCGGCTGGGAGGTGTGCTCCTGGCATCTGTGGTGTGGTGTAGCCCTATCTCCAGAGCAGGGCACAGAGTGCACCAAATTTTTCGTCAAGTTCTGCGCCCAGGTTTCACTGGTTTCAAATAGTAACTACAAGTAGTGGGTGTGGGCGGGGGTTGTAAGCCTGAGTCTTCGCCCTTCCAATCCCTCCCACATCTGTGGAACTGCGTTTCCGATGTGTTTAGCCTGCTCTTCAGCTCTGCTGAGCGCTCCCACCAGCTCATTTTGACAGAGAGGGGTCCTCTTCAAAGCAGCCCGGGTACGGGGATGATAACGTGGTGGTCCCTTGTCCCGGCTTTGGGCTGTCTAGGCTCCGCCCCCTGTGAGTGTGTAAGTGTGTGATGCTGCCTCGCCTGCTGCTGCTGCCGCCTGTGCTGCTGCCTGTGCAGCTGCCGCCGCCGCCCCGGCTGCCGTGCCGCGCTCGGCCACTGCCCCTGCCACTCCTGCCGCCAATCCGCAGCCTGCCAGGCGGGCGGCTCCGCTTGCCCAAGCCCAAGGCGGCTGCCACCACGGCATCCCACTGCTGGACGCGTGCACAGCTGAGGACCGAAGGTCGTAAGTGAGCGGCCAGGCAGTTGCCCACGGTGTGCCACCGCTGCGGAGTGCAGCACCCTGCACGTCAGGTGCCCGCCGCCACCGCTAATGCGGTCCGGGCACTTTTAAATGTGCGGGAGTGCAGCAGGGCCGGAGAGTCAGCCGAGCTGAGAGCGGCGCCAACCTGCCGCAAGCAGTGACCGACACCCGCTCGCCGGTACCGCCTGGCCGCTATGGATCTATTCGACTTTTTCAGGGACTGGGAGTTGGAGCAGCACTGGTAGGTTTTCACTTTTGTCTTCACCTTTCCTGCACAGGTCCCCAGGCTGGGGCTGGGCTTTTCGCCTTTGTTAAGAGGAGCGGGGGCTGTGGTGGGGGAGCCCGGGACGCACCGCCAGTTGCTCTTGGGCACCTCTGCCCCCAGCACCACGACTCCTACCTAGGTTGGGTTTCACGGTGGATGGAGGTTAAGGTACAGAGAGGGATGCAGCTCCCCAAATCGTAGCTTCAGGTTCCAAGTCAAAAGAGTTGCATTTGGCCCAAATCGGATCCGACGCCTACCGAGAACTGAATCTTACACGATACTACCGACCTGAAATGCCTTAACTTTCCAGGTGCTCAACGCCAGTGGGTGGCCGCCCTTGGTAACAGGCAACCGACAAGGTGCCATCTGCTACCCTCTGCTTCCTCCTCTGACACCAGCCCCTCACCTTAGTCTCTGGACCCACCCGGGCGCACAGCTTCCTTTCCACCCACTCAGCCCAAGGTCCTCCTACTTGGACGCGAAGCCGAGGCTTCAGGGGTCGAAGCGTGGGGCCCCAGGTCTCGCAGACTTTGACATTTGGCTTTCAAGACTGACGGCTTTTGAAGTTGGCCCCTGAGGTCTACCGCTCAGACGTCAGTGCAGATTTTATTACCGTCTGGACCCCTGTCCGCCCCCCACTGGGAGGAAGCTGCAGGTTTCTGTAATGGGCACCTATCTCAGATTCAAAGCTTTAGTCAGCTCTTCCCAAAATACCTTAAACTTGTCGCGGACAGGTTTTTGAAGGATGGCACAAAACTGACTTGGGAACGGAAAGTTGGTCCTCTCTAAATGATGTGCACGTGTGTGCCTAAATGGTGATATACATATCTATTAACTTTAAAAAAAAATCAAAAAACTTCACCTTCTGCCACAAACATTACCATTTTTACTTTTTCACATTTTAACATATCAACTTCCCCTACAGCATTTGGAACTAGATGGGGTAAGGGCACAGCGACAGCTATTTAGAATTGCACTCTTGGTTATTGCCTTTTAAAACGTACTTAGAATAATCTGTAGTACCAACCCATAATGGAAAATCTTTTGCAATGTTAAACTACTAGCAGCCGTTAGCTATGAATGCTTGATATAATATTTTAGGCAATTTCCTTCTTTATAAAAGGGTCACACAGTTAGCCAATACCTTCATTATGCCAATCATAACTCTGTTACTTGCAAATCACATATCATCAGAACTTAAATAAATTTTATTTTACAGCAATTCCAAGTAAATCCTTGAAGCCATACATTATGTTATATCACTATTAATCTATAATGCATTTTTAGAGCATGCAAAGTTTTATCACCTCTGCAGAAAAACAGTTACAATTTTTTAATAACCACACTGTTATTTAAAAGTAAAGATCACAATACAATTACTGCTTAATTAAATATCATGCTCCTGCACACAGCCTTTACTCTCCTTCACTAATTTATTTTACAGACAACTGATAACCACAGCATTAGTATTTGCATACAATTTGCCTAAAATATACTGTGCGTAACATTATTAATTTAACAGACATTGTTATAATTGATTTTGTAGATATAGTTAAAATGCTAAACATTTACAAAGTGTTCCATTTTAAAAAACGTGTTTATTATATTATTTTAATTTCAATTTAATGTTAAGCACATGCAGCTGCATATTTAAAGGGGATGGGGTCTTTTACATTTCATTTTTTTCCCCCAGAAAGATACACACACACTCTTTTTCGAGACTATCTTTTCTTACATTTAAAAAAATGCAAAACCTTTTTTCTCCAGATCCCTAACTATGCCACATTACTTAAGAAACGTGCAGGCTTGGACACTCTATTGATATTGTGTGAAATACCAATGAATTAGTATAACACATCTGCATAAAGAAGCCAGCCTTTTCCCTATGTGCACATATTTCAGGAATTTTTCTCCTTCTTGCTGTTTGCTTGTGAAGGACAAGCTTCTTTATGCATCTGTGTGTAAACATGTGTATTGCGGTTGTACTTCTGTGTTTTGTACATCCCCACAAAGAAGAGGAAAATAATTGTGACAATAGTGCATGAAGTAAAAACCTTACATTGCCTTAAATGGAAATCTGTACCTTTCCCAACTCACTTTGGACACCCGGAGCATGCCAATTATATGTTCATTATATGTTGACTTCCTCTCCTGCGGAGTAAATAGCTGCTTACAGTGCTGGCATCCACAGCCACCTCCAACTCCCCAGGAGGCCTAAGGAGGCCCAAGGAGGAAAAAGGTACCGACCAAGTTAAGGGTCTCATTTACATTGGACCTTTTCCCAACATTCACTTGTGGAACAGAAAGCTCAGAGCTATCTCTACTGTAACCCTAGATGCCTGATAGTAAGTGGATCAGGTCAGCTAAAAACAAACTCATTTTCCTAGAATTAATGAAGAAAGATTTTTACATACACAAACATGTATTATTTATAATCACTGCATTATAGTACACAAAAAGTACATGCCCACTTATAAACAGATACATTTGTCAGAATGAATGCAAATGAAAAGGATGGGGCATGAATGGTACTGCAGTATGTGCCCTGTCTGGGAGTGCTCAAGGCCTAACAGAACATAGCCCCAGATTTCACAAACTACAAGAATATCTTAATGGTTCATGCTCTGGACTCGATTAAAGGGCCAAAGCTCAAGTTCTTTAAGATTCCTGGATGAATGAGCAATGTTCACCTGAGTCTGAATTTAATATGAACCATTCTGTGAAAGAAGAGGAAGGAACAGATGTCTGTCTGTGCTCACCAAAGACACGACTTGCTCTTAAGAAAAGAAAACAAGATAAAGAAAACATAAAATGTTATCCTTTAAATCATTCCATTGACTTCCCTGTGGTAACCCAGTAAATGAATTGTTGAGGTGTCTGGAGATCATGTGGCTAGTGGGCTTGTTTACAAGCAATTGCAATGTCATTAATCCCTGTTTGGGAGGGCAAAATTAGAGGGCCCACAAACTGCCCAGCTTTCAGTCCTGTAAGCACTGCTCTCCAATATTGATTAGCTATTGCTTTGTGACAGGCCAAGGTCCTTTGTGGGGATGCTTATCTTCCTTTTATTAGTAAAAAGAAAGAGAAGGAGAGAGAAAGGGGCATATTCTTAAAAATAAAACAAACAAACAAAAGAAAACCACCATGATAGGAAAATCAAAACGTTAAAAAGCCTAGTGGAAATTGTAGTTAAGCAACTGTATGTCTCACAAGTATCCTAATTAGAGGCAAAGTTGCAAACAGGCAGTTATACAGGAAGAGACTTAAACTCACTAAACTGTTATATAAATAGAAAGTTCAAAGGTCTATGTGGGGCTGTCAATGCTGGGAAGGGGCCATGTGCAGGCCAGGCTTCTCCTCCTCCAGTGAAGGCAGCCCCCAGGGCCTGCCCCAGCAACCCACACTTTCTCCAGTTTTTCTCAACCTTGCAGGGGGCGGAGACCCAGCTCTCCAGACAAAAGTGAACTGTTTCAGCTCAAGCCCGGAATGGCCCTTGCACTGCAGCAGCCCTGCTGCTCTATGCACACAGAGTCTTTGGAGGCCCCCTTAACTGCAACCCTCTGCAACTGTGGAACAGGCCTGTTTATGGATGAGATAACATAACCTTCTCCAACCTGGGGGTAGTGGAAATGTGGAAGTGGAGGGCAGGGTCCTCTTTTGACTAAGGCCTACAGGTTGCCAGGATTTCTCAGTCTCTACCTCCATCCATTTATCTTTCCCCCTTCTCCTCTGTTTGTATTCCAGTCAAATGGAGATGATCTATGGTCTGTTTCCTTTGCCAGTACAATATGCATTCTTCACTGTGTTTGAGCATTCACTCACCAAACCATTTGAGATTGAGTTTCTGAAGGGAGTATGTGGAGAGGTGAGACTCAAGGCACTAAAATTAGCTAGTGATCAGGTCTCCTCCACAGCTCCCCAAAATGAATCTGTCATTATAGACATAAACAAGATTCCAAACATTTAAGCATTTTGTAGATGGATAAAAATTATATTGTATTTAAACATGCTAATTATTGTTGAATAGAAATGTCTTTAATGTGCTGAACCTTTATTTCATGCCCTTTATTCTTAGCTAAGACTATTTCTTGCACGCAAAATTTGTACATATTTAATGCAATTTCAAAATTGTAAAAGTCCAATAAAATGGCCATCTCTAGAACAATCTAGGAGCTTTAGCCCTATGAGCTTCTAATTGGTACAGTGACTACTACATTTTTCATTTTGTCTTCTTTTTTTCTGATTGCTGTAAGATAAAGAGATTTTTAAAATCTCTTTAAAAAGAGATTTGTTTAGTGATGAGAGAAAGAAATGTATTGCTGAGTAGACCACTGTCCTGTATGCCTGAAACTAATACAAAGTAATGTTGAATGCAAACTGTAATTGGAAAAAACTTTAAACATTAAAACAAAACAAAACAAAAAAGCAAAAAAAGAAAAAACAAACCCACAAAAAAACAAACAACAAACCCCCCACAACTGAAGGCCATAACTTGGAGAAACCTTTTTGAGGAGTGTGTGTGTGTGTGTGTGTGTGTGTGTGTGTGTTTCACTTGTGTGTCTTAGAACATCATCATCATTGCTACTATTATTTGAGTATTATTACTTTGTGCCCTAAGCATCACTGAGTAGCTAGTGCTTTAAATATTCAATCTCACTTTAGCCTTCAGAAAATTGTATGAGATAGGACCTGTAATGGTCTCTATTTTACAGATGAAGTAATGAAATCACTAGGAACTCAGTGATGCAATCCAAGTTCAAGTGTAGAGGGAGCTGACCCTAGAGCCTGTACCATCAACAACTGACATTTTATCAAAGCCTTTCCAACATTCAGAATCCTATCTCATATGTTATACCATTCTGTCATTGTGAATTCGAATGTGCAGGTCTTATTCTTATTTTACAGATAAACAGCCCTAGAGAGATTGTTTGACTCACCCAAGTTCACACAGCCTCATTAGGTCAGAAATCCACATC